CTTTAGGAAAGCTTATAAGGTAAAATAGTCTTGGAAAACGGTTTGCCAAATATATTCTCCTTTTGTTTGGGACTTGCTAAGATTGTATTTCAACTAGACGCTTAGAATTCGTAATTGAACTTATTCTTTGGGTGATTCTAAACAAAGCTAAACAACGACCACAGCTCCGTCTACACGTGCTCTTCTGGGTGAGTCGCCTGAAAAAGCAAGCGATCGGGTGTGTCGCCTTCGCTTAGTGCAAGGGAACTTGGTTGGTTATGGCTCTTGAAAAATAATAGAGACCGTTCGTGCAATGGTATTTTATTAAAAAACAAATAGGGGTGAACCGCGATGGACGCAAGCAATCAACCAAAATTCATTTCGATTCCCCCGTAAAAATTTTATAAAAGAAAAAGAAAGCTACTTAGATTTAGAAATAGAAATTTCGGGGGAGCAGAATTTAAAGCGGGGCTATTCCCTTTTTTGAGAAAAGGCCGGTATAGTCTCCTATTTAAATTCTGCTCCCCAGAGAAAGCTACCGTAAAAACTATTTGAATTTATAGTTAATGTAAATTCTATTAAATTTAAATCGCTGCACTTTGTTCATCTTCGGTAAATAAATGCATATTGATTCTGAGGTATCCCCTGTTTGATAATTTGTGCAAAACTCCTCTACACCGCCACAAGTTTTCCAACTGATGCACTATTTAGGAGCAATTTTCATTCTATCAGGTTCTTTTTTTTTAGTTGTGTTCGTCTCATCAGCTTTTTAGTAGTGTCTGCTAAAATGGAGCGGTTGAAAGATATGTCGGATAAAGCTTCACAGGAGGCCACGAAAGAAGATTCGCATTTCAGCTCAAGTATGGTTTCAAGCTGTCAACGATCTATGCTTGGCTGAATTTAAACAATGCCCTTCTGGTCAGATGGGGGACAAATTTTTCCCCATATTTAGGTCGCTAAGGCTCGCCATGAAATACGAAGGCCTGAATGTCCTTTTAAGGGAACTGATCGTTTACGCCCATGCTTACAAAAGGACCTCTCGCAAGTCATGTTATGTCCCAGAATTCTGCTAATCGACCTTTATATTTTTGACCCCATGTCGGACCCTGTGTTTTTTCTCTGAATACCTAAAATTAGAGGAGCTGTGTACTAGGAGCTCGGGAGCGTACTAGGAGCAGCGTACTATTGAATTCCCGGGTAAACGAACTGCTCGACACCCAACCGACTGTATTTTTTTTTTTACCTCGAAGTAAAATCAGGACCACAGGATGATGGGTCATTACCGACTCCTGTAGTAACCTCCCTCAGTCCTCTGCGCGAGTCTCCGATAATAGTCTGCTAACTTAGTAACTTCCGGGTCAGTGACGAGCGATTAGAAACTTATGGTGGGACAAACAAAGTACAAAAAAATTAGTCGTGCAAGGCCGGAGAATTAAATAACACAAATTCATGCACGAAAGAAGAAAGAAAACCTAAAAAAAAAA